TTTTGCTTATGTGGTGCTGAGGAATCGAACCCAGGGCCTCATGCATGCAAGGCAAGTGCTCTACCACTGAGCCACCTTCCCAGCCCCCCGCCCCCCGTTTTTTTTTGTCAGTCATGGCACTGTCCCTCAGCTCTTCAGCTCAAAGCGTATGCTCTACTACTTGAGCCACTGTGCCACTTCCAGTTTTCTGAGTGGTTTATTGGAGATAAGAGTCTCACAGAAAGCTGGGCACCAATGGCTTATACTGTAATTCTAGCTACTCAGGAGGCTGAGATCTGAGGAACACGATTCAAAGCCAGCTCGGGCAGAAAAGACCTTGATACTCTTATCTCCAATAAACTACCAGAAAACCAGAAGTGGTGCTATGGCTCATGTAGTAGAGTGCTCACTTTGAGCTGAAGAGCTGAGGAACAGCACCCAGGCCCAGAATTCAAGCCCCATATGACTGACAAAAAAGAAGAGTATTATACATGAGAAAAATAAAAGAAATAAAGTGGAGCAATCCTTTATTTTATACTGTGAGAAACAGATTTCCAGCAAGCCATCTTCCCAGAGGAATACAGAAAACCTGCTCAGGGCCTGATCTCCTCCTGACCCTGGTGGTGAGGTGGAGGAGTATACTTCCCTTCCTCAATAAGCTTAGCCCGCTGCTGCTTGATGAGTTTCAGGCGCTTTATCTGTCAAAAGAAAACAAACAAACAAACATATAAAACAGAAAGAAATGTATTCTAGAAAGGACAGGAGAAACAAGATTGTGGTTTCATCTTTAAACTTTGGAGGAAGGCTTTTCATTCAAGAGAGCCTCTGAAATAAAGTCTGTCTTTTTCTTCTTTTGTATGTGTGACACTTAACTATGCTCCAAGACCTGAAGTCCATCTTTAAAGAACATGAAATCACTTCCCAGGCTTCTTGTTTCTGAAGTTTAGCAATAATTATTTAGCAAACTAGGATAAAGGAGAAGAGAAAAGCCCCTTGCTGGCAATGCAGAGGTTGGGTGCTTAAGAGACTCCTCTTCCAAAGTTTTGTTTTAAACAAGTTAACTTCTGGTATATGTAATTCCTTCTTCTTCTAATTTTTATGGGGGTGGAGGTGGGGCTTGAACTCTGGGTCTGGGTACTGTCCCTTGGTTCTTTAGCTCAAGGCTAGTGCTCTACCTCTTGAACCACAGCACCACTTCCGGTTTTCTGAGTGGTTTATTGGAGATAAGAGTCTCAGGGACTTTCCTGCTCAGGCTGGCTTTGAACTGTGATCTTCAGATCTCAGCCTCCTGAGTAGCTAGGATTTCAGGTATGAGCCACCAGTGCCAGGCTATAATTCCTTCTTAAACACTAGTAATTAAAATGTTCTATAGGTTGAGCGCTGGCAACTCATGCCTATAATCCTGGCTACTCAGGAGGCTGAGATCTGAGGACTTAGGTACAAAACCAACCCAGGCAGTCTGAAACTCTACTTCCAATTAACCACAAAAAAGCTGGAAGTGGAGGATGGCAATGTAGCTTAGTGGTAGAGTGCTTGTGCAGCATGCATGAAGCCCTGTGTTTGATTCCTCAGTACCACATAAACAGAAAAAGCAGAAGGTGGTGGTTGGTAGAGAGCTAGCCTTGAGCAAAAGAAGTTCAGGGACAGTACTCAGGCCCAGAGTTCAAACCCTAGGACTGGCAAAAAAAAAACCAAAACACAAAAAAACACAAAAGCTGGAAATGAAGGTGTGGTTCAAGTGGTACAGTGCCAACCTTGGGCAAAAAAAATCAAGCAAGAGCAAGAGGCCCGAGTTCAAGCCCCAGTACTTGCACATACACACACACAAAATTCTATCTATATATGCATACCTGCATACCTATCTGCCTCCTACCTATATGAAAAAAGGTATTTACAAGGCAATTAAGAGATATGTTCATGCTGACATCTTTTAGAATTTAAAAATTAAGCTTATCTTTTTGCCTGCCAGGCAGCCACACTGCCACAAGCTATATAGTTACTCCCAATCCCTTTCAAAATAATAGCAACTCATCCAACAGGGATGTTTTAAGAAATACTCTCACTAGCTTCTTTTTTGCTTTGTTTTTATCAGGTGTAGGGCTTGAACTCGTGGCTAGGGTGCTGTCTCTGAGCCTCTCTGTGCTTAAGGATAGAGCTCTACCAATTAAGCCACAGTACCACTTCTAGTTTTTGAGTGGTTAATTGGAGATAAGTGTCTCACAGAGACTTTTCTGCCCAGGCTGGCTTTAAATCATGATTCTCAGATCTCAGCGTCCTATGTAGCTAGGATTATAGGCATGAGCCACTGGTGCCCTGTTAGCTACTTTATCTATAAGAAAGTATCTAGTCCTTAGACTATCCTTTATAATTGCTTTTATTCATAAACTCACAGAATCAGGAGGTGACTTCAGAATAACTGTTTAATTTCCTCAGGTAAGGAAATAAAGATGAACGAGTGGTGGGTGATATGTTCAAAGTCACAGAATTAGTGGCAGCAGAAGCGGCACGAGAATCTGCCTCTCCTGACTCCTAGCCCCAGTATTTTTCCTGCCTTTACACAGCCTCTTCTGGCTGTAAATATTCCAAGATAAGTAAAAATCTTGATTAGTGAAATAAATAATAGTTTAGCCATGATGAGAACTAAATATTTGGAAGACGGCCAACTATGACCTACCTCTTGTCCCTCAGTTAGACTAAAAGATGAATTATACAATGATAACTATCACTGCAGAGATTAATATAAAATATTACGTGACACTCCCTTATCCAATTTTAGCTTCACTTTATCTAAATGTCAATAGCAAATGTTATGAGACAAAGACTTAAAAATTTTCGATTCTGGTAACTACTATAAATTTAACTGAAAACCTAGATTGTGTCCTTGAACACCATGAAGTTAGAATAAAAACATTTCTATTTGTTATATCTGAAGCACAGGAACAGGCAAAATGGCAGATTAAACCCAAAGACTTCTTTTTTAAGGAGAATAGGGCCCTACTGAATTCTACTCAATTCTAGAAGAGATGGGTACTATGTTGCTAAGATCCTTCTTTGGTTAGCTTTTTCTAAAGCATTCTAATAAGCACCTTCTCTCTTTCTTTCTTTCCTTCCTTCCTTCCCTCCTTCCTTCCTTTCTTGCCCTGGGGCCTAAACTCTGGGCCTGGGTGCTGTCTTTCAGCTGCTTAACTCAAGGCTAGTGTTTTACCACTTGAGCCACAGTGCCACTTCCAGCTTTTTCTGTTTATGTGGTGCTGAGGAATCCAACCCAGAGCCTCATGCATGGAAGGCAATCACTCTACCACTGAGCCACCTTCCCAGTTCCAGCACCTTCATTTTCTTAGAGTAATAAAAATAAATTGAGCTGAGGGCTAGTGGCTCACACCTATAACCCTAGCTACTCAGGAGGGTAAGACCTAAGAATTGTGGCTCAAAGCCACCCAGCGCAGGAAAGCCCATGAGACTCCAATCTATCACCAGAAACGTGGAAGTGGAGCTGTAGCTCAAGTGGCAGTACCAGCTTTGAGTAGAAAAAGCCAAGAGAAGCCGGCACTGGTGGCTCACGCCTATAATCCTAGCTACTCAGGAGACTGAGATCTGAGGATCACGGTTCAAAGCCAGCCCAGGAAATTCCATGAGGCTCATATCTCCAATAAACCACCAGAAAACCAGAAGTGGTGCTGTGGCTCAATTGGTAGAGCGCTTTCCTTGAGCTGAAGAGCTGAGGGACAGTGCCCAGGCCCAGAGTTCAAGCCCTACGACCAACAGAAAAAAAAAAAAAGTCAAGAGAACAAGAGGGCCTTAGTTTAAGCAACAGTACTAGCAAATAAATAAATAAACAAAACCAGATTCTTGTATCATATAATCACTGTAATCAGTCTATAGGGCTTAACCTCTTCTCCAATGAGTGTCTAATGAATGTAAAATATTTTCTTTTTTTTGTCGGTCGTAGGTGAACTCTGGGCCTAGGCACTGTCCTTCAGCTCTTCAGCTCAAGGGTAGAGCTCTACCACTTGAGCCATAACACCACTTCCGGCTTTTTCTGCTTATGTGATGCTGAGGAATCAAACCC